CCCGGGCTGGGATTTGATGCTCCCTGGGGGCAATGCCCAAGAGATGGGCAATTCTGGGACCCATGACCAGCTGGAGTCTCAGGACAGTAGCAGGGATTCCAAAAATGTTCCAGTCATTTGTCCGCATTGGCTGGCCTGATCCAAGCACACTGAGAAGGTAGAGATGCCAAACCCAACTTGCCTCTTCCCTGATTCCCAACACAAGGTGCCTTTGTATCCACAGCTCAATGAGAATATTCACCTTCCCTCTGTGAAGACAGTAACTGAGTGATAAAGGACCTATTTGCCAACTGCATTATACCAAAATTCGCATGCTTTTAAGGATTTACGGGTCTAAAATGCTAATACTTCAATTGGATTCTATGTATCACAAAACTGTGTCCACAACTACAAAGAAGATTATTCTAGTGACATTTCCCTTGATGAGCCTCAATTTCTTCAACTCTAAAATGAAGATAATAAGAGTACCAACCAAGGGCACCTGGGTGGCTCAGTCGGTTAAGTGTCCTACTGATTTCAGCTCAGGTCATGATCTCACAGTTCATGGGACTGAGACCCTGAATCAAGCTCTGTGCTGACAGCTCGGAGACTGCTTGGAATTATCTCTCTCCCTCACTCTGCCCCTCTTGCAAATGTCCTCTCCGTCTCTCTCTCTCTCTCTCTCTCTCTCAAAATAAACAAATAAATAAATAAACTTAAAAAAAAAAAGAGTGCCAACCAAATAGGGTTGATTTGAGGATCCAAAGAAAACACATGTAAAGCACAAAGCATCACTCATAGTTGTTATTCAGTACATTTTGGTGATATTATTTTTATGATTATCTTGGAACCCTCTGCCACCTTTGCCCTCTGCTCCCACTCACACTGGCTGCTCTCTTGCTCTTACCCAGCCCCCACCTGTGCTGTCACTGCATCCCTTCCATGCCTTCCCACCTGCTGCTGGAGCACGCCTTCAAAAAGGTCTTTGAATAACCCTACACATCTGCTTAAAAATACCTGCTAGAAAATAAAATTAAACAAACAAACAAACAAACAAATAAATAAACAAAACTGCTGGATGCTCTTTGCCTTTAGTCTGACGTCCTGGTCTGTTCAGGCTGCTCTAACAGCAACTCCATGGACTGTGTAGCTTATAAACAGCTGACCTTTACTTCTGAAAGTTCCAGAGTCGGAAGTCGAGGGATCAAGGCGCCAGCAGATTCAGTATTTGGTGAAGACCCACTTCCTGCTTCAGAGATGGCCATCTTCTCGTTCCCACCTCACATGGAGGGAGGGGCGAGGGCGGGCTCCGGGGTCATTTACACAAGGACACTAATTCTATTCACAAGGGTTCTATTCATGACCTAATGACCTCCCAAAGGTCCCGCTTCCTAATACTATTTCACTGGGGATAAGACTGCAACATATGAATTTTGTGGGATGACGCAAACATTGAATCCGTGACTCCTGGGTTATAAGACCGTTTATCTGGGCTGTGGAAATGTCTCCTGACCATATGCCCTGCAGATCTTTCTGGACAATCCTGCTGTAGCCACAGGGCCAAGACTAGAGTGCAGCAGAAGAGGCGCTACTGCACACAACTAAGGGGGCCCTGACCCTCAGGCTGGTGCAGCACCAGACTCTAAAGATGTCCCTTGATGGGAGATACCTGCCATCCGATTTGTCCCCTCTCTCCCTCCTTCCTCCCAGACTTCCTGGGTTTAAGTTATTCCTTAACTATAAAACTCAAAGTAAGCTGCTTACCCTCTTTGTACCTCAGTCTCCTCATCTATAAAATGGGGCTGACAAAAAATACCTGTCTCATAAAGCTGTTGTGAAGGCTAAATGGATTTGTGCATGTCAAGTCTTAGGAGATGGTTTAGCACCTGACAAGCACTCACCAAATATAACCTATAACTACCCACACCCTCTCCCTGAAGTCTTCTTTACAGGTCCTCTCATGCTACAGTCTAGATAAACATATACTCTGAATCTCAAGACATCAACAAGCTATAGCTATATTAGCTACTACACATAAATGTTAAAGAAGTCAGTTTGCCTCAGCAAGATAAAGGGAATGATGCTGTTCCCCAACCTGGCAACATCCATCCTCAGGGCAACTCCGAGGTCCTTCCTCCATATCAGTTCAAGGTCTCCCAGTTGACTGGGTGGCTCAGTCGGTTGAATGTCCAACTCTTGATTTCAGTTCAGGTCATGATGTTACAGTTTGTGAGATCGAGTCCCAAATTGGGATTCATTCTCTCTCTCTCTCTCTCTTTCTCTCTGTCCCTCTCTGTTTGCTCTTTCTGTCTCTCTTTCAAAATAAATAAATAAATAAACTTGAAATGAAAAACTTTTTAAAACAACAGAGATGTAAGGGAACTCAAAACAGAATACAAACAGTAAAAAAAATATATCTAATTTAAGGAGCACCTGGGTGGCTCAAGTTAAGCGACCAACTCTTGATTTCAGCTCAGGTCATGTTCTCATGGTCATGAGTTGGAGCCCTGCATCAGGCTCTGCGCCGGCAGTGCAGTGCCTGCTTTGAATCTCTCTCTCTCTCTCTCTCTCTCTGTCTCTCTGCCCTTCCCACTCTCTCTTTCTCTCAAATAAATAAACTCTATAATTTTTTTTACTGTTTTTATTTATTTCTAAGAGACAGCATGAGCAGAGGAGGGTCAGAGAGAGAGGGAAATACAGAATCTGAAACAGGCTCCAGGCTCTGAGCTGTCAGCACAGAGCCTGACATGGGGCTAAATAAACTCTAAAAAATTAAGTCTCTCAGTTGCCTGTGACTTGAAGCCAGTGCAAACTGGCTTAAGCAAAACAGTTAATTCATTGGACCATGACATTTGTTATCCTTTGTTGTGTAACAAATTACAGAACTTGGGAGCTTAAAATAAGCATTTTTTTTATCTCACTTTCTGTGAATCAGCAATCCAGGCCCAGCTTAGCTAGTGTCTCTGGCTCGGGATCCCTCACAAAGCTCTCATCAAGATGTCCTCCCAGGGGCCAGTACCACCTGTCTCACCCCTGTGGCTCTCAGAAGCCTCAAGTCCTCATCATCTGTTGGCAAAGACATCACTTTCTTGTTGGGTTTTGGCTGGTGGTCTCCCTGGCTCCTTGTCTTGAAGTCTTTAGCTCACCACATAATACCTGGCTCCTCGAAAAGAGAGTTGGGAGTAGGAAAGAGAGAGAGAAACAGAGAGAGAGAGAAATGAAAGACACACCCTTCTACAACCTAATCTCAGAAGTGACAGCTTATCGCTGCTGCCACATTCTACTCACTAGCAGCAAGCTACCCCATCCATCCCACACTCAACAAGACGTGATTACAGGCATGCCTGGCTGGCTCAGTCAGTAGAACATGAGACTCCTGCTCTCATGGCTATGAGTTTGAGCCCCACAGTGAGTGCAGAGATTACTTAAAATATTTTTTTTAAAAAGAGAGAGATGGCTCTCTGCTCCTCCCCGTTCGACAGACAGCTGCATCTTCTGGTGCAGTGCCAGCTGCGTCCCCGAGACACGATGGTGAAGGTCAGAGTCAACGGATTTGGCCGCACTGGGCACCTGGTCACCAGGGCTGCTTTTAACTCTGGCAAAGTGGACATTGTTGCCATCAATGACCCCTTCATTGACTTCCACTCCATGGTCTACATGTTCCAGTGTGATTCCACCCACAGCAAATTCCACGGCACAGTCAAGGCTGAGAACGGGAAACTTGTCATCAACGGAAAGCCCATCACCATCTTCCAGGAGCGAGATCCCGCCAACATCAAATGGGGTGATGCTGGTGCTGAGTATGTTGTGGAGTCCACTGGGGTCTTCACCACTATGGAGAAGGCTGGGGCTCACTTGAAGGGTGGGTCCAAGAGGGTCATTATCTCTGCCCCTTCTGCTGATGCCCCCATGTTTGTGATGGGTGTGAACCACGAGAAGTATGACAACTCTCTCAAGACTGTCAGCAATGCCTCCTGCACCACCAACTGCCTGGCCCCTCTGGCCAAGGTCATCCATGACCACTTTGGCATCGTGGAGGGACTCATGACCACAGTCCATGCTATCACTGCCACCCAGAAGACCGTGGACGGCCCCTCTGGGAAGCTGTGGCGTGACGGCCAAGGGGCTGCCCAGAACATCATCCCTGCTTCTACTGGCGCTGCCAAGGCTGTGGGCAAGGTCATCCCTGAGCTGAACGGGAAGCTCACTGGCATGGCCTTCCGTGTCCCCACCCCCAACGTGTCTGTCGTGGATCTGACCTGCCGCCTGGAGAAAGCTGCCAAATACGATGACATCAAGAAGGTGGTGAAGCAAGCATCAGAGGGCCGCTCAAGGGCATCCTGGGCTACACTGAGGACCAGGTCGTGTCCTGCGACTTTAACAGTGACACCCACTCTTCCACCTTCGATGCTGGGGCTGGCATTGCTCTCAACGACCACTTTGTCAAGCTCATTTCCTGGTATGACAATGAATTTGGCTACAGCAACCGGGTGGTGGACCTTATGGTCCACATGGCCTCCAAGGAGTAAAAGCCCCCTGGACCACCAGCCCCAGCAAGAGGAAGAAGAGAGACCCTCAGCTGCTGGGGAGTCTTTGTCCCAATTCATCCCCCAACACACCTGAGAATCTCCTGACCTCCAGTTTCCATCCCAGACCCCCTGAAGAAGGGGAGGGGCTTGGGGAGCCCTATGTTACCATGTACCATCAATAAAGTATACTGTATCCAGCCAAAAAATAAAAAATAAAATAAAATAAAAAACAAAAAATAAATAAAAAAGAGAGAGATGATTACACACGGGCATGAATACCAGGAGGTGGAGATATATAGAAGCCACCTTTAGGGCCGAGTTTAGAACCCAAGTTTCCTGATGCTGAAGAAAGTGACTCCCTACATTGATTTTCAAATCCCATGAAGGCCCTGAAAAGACTTGGGACCCCTACCCCAGCCTGAGCATGTGGGAGGAGTCTGTGGTACCAGATATAAACAACCACACACACACATGCATGCACGCACAAGCAGCAAAGCTGTGGTAAGCACTTCCTCTTTCAGCCTGAGATCTGAAAGCAAATCATCATGGCGGCCCCAGAGAAACACCCAGATGACTGGACTCTACAGTCCTTCTCCAAAAAACCACAGAAGAGTCAGCCACACATACTCTCTTTCTTTCTGTGGACCCATCTCCTCTTCCTGCTCATGGGTAAGTCCACATTGTGGTAATTGGTAAGTCCACACCAATTGCTAGTGGTGTCCCTCTGAGGCTGGTCACATTCTTTGCTGGTAAACTCAGGAAACTCTTCTCTTCATAGTAATTCTGCGGGTTTCACCTTATGCCTACCTATGTCTGTGTGTGTGAGTGCATGCATAGTCACACACCATGAGTAGATGACATTCTAGCACCAGTCTCAAATAATTAACTCTGGGCTCAGACTGTGTTCCTCTCACCCTCACACTTTCCTGCTAAGATATGCTGAGTGGTGAGTTTGTTCCCCATTTAATGTGGATAAAATCCACAGAAAGATACAGAAGTTTCCCCTGATGACTAGCCACCCCTCTTTCTTAGGGATACATAGAACTGCTGGAGCTTCTTTCTACATCCTGCCATGTTTATCTTATATCTCAAACTTCAGGCTTCCTTGGGGATCTGGAGATGGTCTGGTGGCACTGGGCTAGGTGGCTTCTCTCTGAATGTCCTTTTCTCCTCACATCCTACCTCCCTGTCAAGGCTCATGTCCTGCAAGTTTCTGGGAAATGTATCTCAGCAGCATGGCCAGCAGGCAGAGCTGACCCACTACCCCAAGGAGGGTCTCAACCACCTGATGTGGTGGCACCTACTGTCCTTCTGGAAATCCTGTTTTCCCCAGGGCCTTGGAGGAGGGCACAGTAGCATAGGGACTCAAAAATAGTGGGAGTAGGAGGGGTAGGCAGTGAGGAGAGTTATAGAAGAACTCTTAGATGCATGTATGAGGGAAAGGGGCCTAGACTCCAGGACTGAGTTCAAGTCTGAGCTCTCCTCATTTTCCATTTTCAATTTTGCTCACCATAAAAACATCTGAAGCATCAGGACTCTTTATATCCACACCCAACTCTTGGGGCGCTTCTTGGTGGTGTTGGATAAACCTGAAACTAGCCAATGCAATGTCACCCAAACCTCAGATGACCAACAAGTAAACCTCAAGGCAGAGAGGCATCTCTCTCTCTCTAGCTCCATCAAATGGGATAACCTCAAACTTCACTGTTTTGGTCTAACAGGGAGTTACCTTGATGCTTTTGTGCCTCCAAAGAGTGGTTTTAGGAACTGAGGAGACAGTAGGGTGAAAAGTCCTTCTGTCTTAGTACATCAGGGAGTAAGAATGTCCCGTCCCCTTTTTGGAGAGCGAGAATTCCTATCCCCTTCAAGGTCCTTCCAGCTGGACTAAGAATCAAATTGACATGAGACAGATTAACAGGAGAAACTAAAATTTGATAGTGTATATATGGGAAATCCACACAGACATGGAAATTTCAAAGACAGGCAAAATGAGGTCTGTATGTCATCCCAAACTAAGGAGAAGGGGACAGAGGTCTGGGACTTCAGAGGGAAGGTAAGTAGTTCACAGGGCAATATGGAGAAGAACAGATGTTTGGTAATTAGATGTTTGCTGTGCCATTCAGGTAGGTTACTCAGATCAAATTTATCTCTGCTAATAATCCTTATTCTGGGAAAGACTTCCAATTTAGATTCTTCTATGTAGTGAAGGGAGGGGCAAAATTTCTCTTGAGCCCACACGGTCTTGATTGCCTTCAGCTCAGAATAACCTTCATGCCAAAGTGGCTTACCTTGGGGCAGCCCCTACAAGTATCAGAAACATTTGAAATTAAATCCTTGTTCCATTACTTCCTAGCTGTGTGAGTCTCTGCTTCTTAAGTATGGAATGTGATTAGTAAATTGTATCATGCAAGACTCTCTTATAGATTAAAAAGGATATATGTAAGTGCTTGGTACATAGTTGGCGAAAGCTGATTGTTATAATAATCACTACCTGGATTATTTGGAAACTATTAAAGGTGGGGAAGCCAAATCCAGTTATGGCAATCATTGAACACCATTTTATTATTTGCCAAATGACGTAGTTCAAGGTAAGATGACTGATACCTGGGACTCCTGTTGTGTAGCATTGTTTGCTTCAACAGTAACAGGGTTTGACCTGTATGAATCATAACCTGTCCCCCTTGCTGACAGTCTGAGGACCTTCGCTGATCTCTGATATGAAGAGAGAGCTGACCAACCTTGCAATCTCAGGCAAATAGTTAAAACTCTTGAAATTGTAGCTCCTCATCAGTAAAAAAAAAAAGGGGGGGGGTCGGGGCGAATCATCAGGTAATTTTGAGGATTGAACAAGGCGATTTCTACATGTCCTAGCAGTCATAAGCAGTATCTTCCAGATGGGAAGAGCTCTCTGTCAGGCAACTTCAAGCCAGCATCAAAACAAACCTAGTTTCTGCCTTCTGACTACCCCCAGAATTCACCTGAATGGACCTAGCCTAGCTGACCAAGATCCCTAGCCCTGTGTCCTCCCTAGCTGCCTCTCCACAAGGTCCAAGTGCTTGGCTGATGGTGGATAGTGAACCCCCCACCACCACCCTGGTCTGCGCCAATCTGGGTATCTCTTCTCTGAGTTTGCATAATTCTGTACTTCTGGATATTCAGAACATACCTCAGCCTTTTTCCATCCCTCCAGACTATACCTGGTCCTTTCCTCTCTCTCATATTTTTTACTTATCTTTTCACCCAGATTCCTGAAGTAATATGGGTCCTGAACCCATCTGATTTAGTCTGGAGTTTTCAGAGAACTGTCCAGAGCCTCAGAAGGCCTTGAATCTGGGAACCCAGGCTGGAGTCACCCAGTTCAAATTCACAGGGCCCCTACAAGGAAATGAGCTGCCTCGGGCAGATGCCAGACCTCTGGAAGCCATGGTAACAATGTTTATCAGGGATTTGGGGTTTTCCTGAGATGAAGCAATTAGGAGTAGAATCAATGCTATTTACTAACCCCATCCCCAAACCTTGTTCCTAAGGACAAACCATATTTCCCCGGCCAAGGCAAAGCCATTCTGAGATCCCCCGGACAATGAGGAAAAGAAAGAGTAAGATAGATGCTCCTTTTGTTGCTAATATTTTATTATGAAAATTCTCGAACACAGAGAAAACTTGAAAGAATTTTACATTAACACTCATGTGCTTCCCACTCCAGGTCTACTATTGGCTTAATTTCATTTGCCTTCTCACACACTTATCCATCTATCCACCCTGTTAGGCATCCATCATCCCATATTATTTTTTAAAAGATGCTCCTTGGGGGCGCCTGGGTGGCTTAGTCGGTTAAGCGTCCGACTTTCACTTAGGTCATGATCTCGCGGGTTCGTGGGTTCAAGCCCCGCGTCGGGCTCTGTGCTGACTGCCAGCTCAGAGCCTGGAGCCTGTTTCAGTCTGTGACTCCCTCTCTCTCTGACCCTCCCCTGTTCACGCTGTCTCTCTCTCTCCTAGAAATAAATTTAAAAAATATATATATATATATATACATATATAATAAAAGATGTTCCTTGGGGCACTTGGGTGGCTCAGTCAGTTAAGTGGCTGACTTCAGTTCAGGTCATGATCTCACTCTTGGTGAGTTAGAGCCCCACATTGGGCTCTGGGCTAACAGCTCGGAGCCTGGAGTCTGCTTCAGATTCTGTGTCTCCCTCTCTCTCTGCCCCTCCCCTGCTCATGCTCTGTCACTCTGTCTCTCAAAAATAAATGTTAAAAAAATTATAATAAATAAATAAAAGATGCTCCTTTTTTTTTTTTTACCTCTTTTGTTCTTTATGATTCACAGCAACCTGATTTTATTCTATCCCTACCATACCTGTAGAGGAAGACAGTATAGGTGTGTACATTTCTGTCATTATAGATGAGTAAACTGATTCTCAGAGAAATTCAAAAATTCACCCAAAGTCACAAGGCTAATTTCCCTGCTGGGACAGAAACCTAGAAAGTCTGTTTCACTGATTATTGTAGATGCATTCATGGGAGAGCATAAATGAAAGTTAATTTAGGGAATGAATGAACGATTTTGTTAGGCAATGAGCCTAGAGGAAGAAGAGCCAGATTTTCATTTCATTTCTCAACATCTGGGATTTATTCCCACTGTGTTTTTATTGAATGAGTGAATGAATGAATGAATGAATGAAGGCTGATTTGAGGAGTCCAACTGCTCCTCCACTCCCTCTTCTGTCTCTGCAGGACTAGAAGCCTCTGGAAAGGACTCAATCCCAACAGTGGTGCCAAGGATTGTAGGAGGCTCAGTGAATTTCTCCCTGCCCATTCCAGCAGACACAGAGATTGAGCACGTCACCTGGAATGGTCCCCAAAATACTCTTGCTTTAGCAGTCCCTGGAGCACCTGCTTTCATTACGGACAAAAGCTACCAGAACCGACTGAACATCTGGAACTACTCCTTGTTTATCAGCAACCTGACTTTGAAAGATGCAGGATCCTACAGAGCCCAGATAAACTGCAAGAATTGTAATGTCACCACTGATAAGGAATTTACCCTCCATATCTATGGTGAGTTCCAGAGAGCTTCTGTGGGTTTTGATCTTTTATTTTATTTTATTTTTTTATTTCTGTATTTTTGAGAGAGGAGGGAGCAGAGAAAGAGAGAGGGAGAGAGAGAATCCCAAGCAGGCTCCATACTGTCAGCACAGAGCCTGATGCTGAGCTCGCACTCACAAACCGTGAGTGAGATCATGACCTGAGCCAAAATCAAGAGTCAGACACTCAACCGATGGAGCCACCCAGGTGCCTCTGATCTTTTCTTTTTAAAAGCAGATTTTTTTTCCTCCAGTAGTTTATTCCTCTAGGACAAATAAGATTATCTTGTTGGTCATTTTCATCCAGTTCCATAAATACAGATGTTGGAGTGAAAACACAGTCAAGTTTAAAGGCCATTTGTATTCTCTTTTCTGTAACTCTGTTATAACATCCTTTACCCACATACACTAGCTTGCTAGGCCTGACGTAATCAAATACCACAGACTGGGTGAGTTAAACAATGGAAACTTATTTTCTCATGGTTCTAGAAGCTGGAAGTTAAACTCAAACGTCAGCAGGTTGGGTTTCTCCTGCCTTGCTACTAGGCTTGCAGATAGCTACCCTCTTGATACCTCCTCATGTGGTCCTATCAAGAAATGAGGAGCTAGGGACACCTGGGTGGCTCAGTCGGTTGAGCGTCCGACTTCGGCTCAGGTCATGATCTCACAACCCGTGGGTTTGAGCCCCACATCAGGCTCTGTGAGGACAGTTCAGAGCCTGGAGCTGCTTCAGATGCTGTGTCTCCCTCTCTCTCTGCTCCTTCCCTACTCACGCTCTGTCTCCCTCTCTCTCTCAAAAATAAATAAACATTTGAAAAAAAAAAAAAAAAGAAAAAGGAAAGAAAGAAATGAGAAGCCAGGGACGCCTGGGTGGCTCAGTCGGTTAAGCATCTGACTTCAGCTCCAGTCATGATCTCACGGTTCATGGGGTTTGAGCCCTGCATCGGGCTCTGTGCTGACAGCCAGCTCAGAGCCTGGAGCCTGTTTGAGATTCTGTGTCTCCGTCTCTCTCTGACCCTCCCCTGCTCACGCTGTCTCTCTCTCTCTCAGAAATAAATAAAAACATTAAAAATTAAAAAAAAAAAAGAAATGAGAAGCTAAAACGTGTTCTTTTAAATAAATTGTTTAGTGGTGAATGTATAATCCATATAAGTCATTTTTTTTAAGTTTTTTAATTTTAATTCCAGTATAGTTAACATACAGTGTTATACTAGTTTCAGGGGTACAATATAGTGATTCAACACTTCTATACATTATTCAGTGCTCATCAATATAAGTGTAGTCCTCATCCCCTTCATCTACTTCACCCATTCCCCTTCCAAACCTCCTTTCTGACCAGAAATTTGTTCTGTAGAGTTGAGAATCTGTTTCTTCGTTCCTAACAGCATCTTAACTTAATTATCTCTCTCTTTTTTTAAGTCTGTTTATTTATTTTGAGAGAGAGAGCACTACAGACACAAGGGAGAGGCAGAGAGAGAGGAGGAGAGAGAGGGAGAGAGAGAAAATCCCAAGTAGGCTGCATGCTGTCAGTGCAGAGCTCAATCCCACAGACCATCCGGTCAAGACCTGAGCAGAAATGAAGAGTAGGACACTCAACTGACTGAGCCACCCAGGCACCCCACTTAATTATCTCTTAAAGGCTCTGTCTCCAAATTCAGTCACATTCTGAGGTACCGGGGATCAGGACTTCAACATATGAATTTTGAGGGGACATGACTCTTCAGTTCTACCCTCTGGGCCTCTAAAACTCATTTCCTTCTCATATGCAAAATACATTTACTCCATCTCAGCAGACATTCCGTTATCAATTCTAAGTCCAAAACCTTATCTAGATGTCATCTAAAGCATTATGGTTGAGACTTGAGATACAGCTCATCCTGAGGCAAAATTCCTCCCCAGCTGTGAAGCTATGAAACCAGACAAGTTTTCTGTCCTCACACTAGGATGATAGGATAGTTATAGGATAGACATTCATATTCCAAAAGGGAGCAATAGAAAAGAAGAAAGAGGTCATGGATCCCAAGGAAGTATGCAATCTAACAGGTCAAATTCTATTAAATTTTAACCTTCAAGAATAATCTCCTTTGGGGGCGCCTGCGTGGCTCAGTCGGTTAAGCCTCTGACTTCGGCTCAGGTCATGATCTCACGGTTGGTGGGTTCGAGCCTCGCGTTGGGCTCTGTGCTGACAGCTCAGAGCCTGGAGCCTGTTTCAGATTCTATGTCTCCCTCTCTCTCTGACCCTCCCCTGTTCACGCTCTCTCTCTCTCTCTCAGAAATAGATAAAACATTAAAAAAAAAAAAAGAATAATCTCCTCTGGCTCCATGCTCTGTCCTTTGGCCCCCCTAGGTGGCAGTCCCACCTCCTTGGCCCTGAGCAGCAACCTTGACCCCTAGAACCAAGAAGGAAATCACCCCACCAACTGCCCCTGGGCCTGTGCCCTCTATCCAGGGTGGCAAGGGCAGTGGCAGCCTATCAACCTCTGAGCTGTTCTTGGTGCTATTCTTCCCTTTTCTAAAGGATAAGCATGATCTCAGCTGACTAGCTCTATTGGTCCATCCTGTAGAATCCCACAAGTATGACAGCGTTTCTTCATTTTGTTCTATCTCTGTCCCTTCAGTTCAGGCTGAAAGCATTTCTGCTGAGATAGTTGGCTAAATCCATGAGTCACACTGTAATCTCTCATATGCTGAGAATTTTCTAAATTTTCAAGTCTGCTTCAACACTTCCTTCTTCCATTTATTTATTCCTCCTCTAAAATTTTACTACAAGCAGAAAGGAAAAAACACATAGTGTCCTCAATAGTTTGCTTAGAAATCTCCTTAGCTAAATACTCAGATTTATCATTTAAATGTGCTGCTTTTTTTTAAGTTTATTTTTTTTAATTTTTTAAAGTTTATTTATTTTGAGAGAGAGAGTGTGTGTGTGCATGTGTAAGTAGGGGAGAGGCAGAGAGAGAAAGGGAGAGAGACAACCCCAAGCAGGCTCTGCACTGTCAGCATAGAGCCCGAAGCAGGGCCCAAACCCACAAATCATAAGAACATGACCTGAGCTGAAATCAAGAGTCGGATGCTCAGCCAACTGAGCCATGCAGGCATCCCTAAATGTGCTACTTTCTACAAAACAGTATAATGCATTTTTTCTAAATTCTTCACAACTTCCTCAAGTTTCCAATAACATGTTCCTCACTTACATTTGATAACCTCACCAGAAACACCTGTAAGGTTCATATTTCTACCAATTATTCTCTTCATGATAATACATGTGTAACTCTAGGATAACAGAAGCTCTACAACTCTCCTCTCTTCTTTCTGAGCCTTTACCAGAATCAACTTTGCATCCACATTTCTACAGTCTCTTGAGGACAATCTAGGCATTTTCCAACACTTGCCTCAAAATGCTTTAGATCTCTATCCATTAGCCAAGTCCAAAGCCACTTCCACATTTTTCGGTATTTGTTATAGCAGTATCCCACTTCTGGTACCAGAATATGTACTGGTTTGTTGTTAGCACAGAGCCTAACGTGGAACTCAAACTCACAAACTGTGAGATCATGACCTGAGCGCAAGTCAAACACTTAACCAACTGAGCCACCCAGGTGCCCCACAGTCTCTTCTTCTCATAAGGACACGAGTCATATTGGGTTAGGGACCATTCTAATGGCCTCAGTTTAATTTAATGACTTCTCTCTCCAAATACATTCCTATACCCAAACAAAAACATATTCTTAGGTACTTGGAGTTAGGGCTTCAACATATGAGCTTTGGGAAGACACAATTCAGCCTATGACACCATCTTTCTATCAGGTAGGGTTTTTAAAATTGATTTGTAGAGTTCTCTGCATATATTAAAGAAATGGAATTCTATGCAGAGAATAGAAATAGAGTGAATCAACTCTATTGAATCAATGTTTGATTCTATAATGAATCAATATGCACCAACATACAATTTCCAAGATACATTGTTAATTTTTAATTCCAGCATAGTTAACATACACTGTTATATTAGTTTCAGGTGTACAGTATAGCGATTCAGCAGTGATTCAACACTTCAGTACAGCACCCAGTGCTCATCATATGCATAATTTTCAAAAGATGTTTGTTTGTTTATTTACTTACTTATTTATTTATTTATTTTTGAGAGAGAGAGAGAACACACATGAGTGAGGGGATGGCAGAGAGAGAGAGGGAAAGAGATTCTGAAGGGGGCTCTGCACTGAGAGCAGTGAGCATGATGCAGGGCTTGAACTCACAAACCATGAGATCATGACCTGAGCCAGTCAGACGCCCCCATCGTAAGTGTACTCTCATCCCTTTCACTTAGTTCACCCATCTCCTACCCACCTCCCCTCTGGCAACCACCAGTGTGTTCTCTGCAGTTAAGCATCGGTTTTTTGGTTTGTCTTTTTCTTCTTTGTTCATTCTGTTTCTTAATTTCCACATATGAGCGAAATCATATGATATTTGTTTTCCTCTGACTGACTTATTTCATTTAGCATAATACTCTCTAGATCCATCTATTGTTGTTACAAATGGCAAGATTTTATTTTTTATTATGGCTGAATAATATTCGTATATATAGACAATATTTTCTTTATCCATTCATCTATCAGTAGACACTTGGGATGGGGCACCTGTGTGGCTCAGTCGGTTAAGCGTCTGACTTTGGCTCAGGTCATGATCTCACAGTTCATGGGTTCAAACCCCACGTCGGGCTTTGTGCTGACAGCTCGGAGCCTGGAGCCTGTTTCAGATTCTGCATCTCCCTCTCTCTCTGACCCTCCCCTGTTCATGCTGTCTCTCTCTCTCTCTCTCTCAGAAATAAAAAATAAAACATAAAAAAAATTTTTTTAAATAGACACTTGGGCTGCTTCCATAATTTGGCTATTGGAGATAATGAGATAATGCTGCAATAAACATAGAGGTGCACATATCTTTTGAAATTAATGCTTTCAGGAGTGCCTGGGTGGCTCAGTT